TTTTATGCTGGGGGAAAAAGCTGGAAAGTGCCCAAAGTCCTCTAACATTGTCAAGCTACCAACTTTCTCCAAAATTCCATTATTTCAGGCATCCTGGCAGACGCACACCCTATTAATATTTCCGAATGGCTTGCCCAGAATTCTTGGGACTAAAGCTACCCACCTTATATTTCTCATAAACGACCGGCATGCTGAAAACCAACAATTCCCCTAAAAAAGAAAAAAAAAAGAGGGACATTATAGATCAAAAGGGGTGAAGCTTCATGCTGGAGAGGCTGTGGGGCCAATCAGTCTGCAAAAGTTGGGATATAAATCTAATACCTAAATCAGGGGTCTTCAAACTTGGCCCTTTTATGACTTGTGGACTTCAACGCCCAGGAATTCTGGAAGTTGAAGTCCAGAAATCATAAAAGGGCCAGGTTTGAAGACCCCTGACCTTAAATGAAGATTAAAGAACAGGGGAACTGTGCTTCAAGCAAATGAAGGAAGCCAGGGGGCTCGGCCACCTGCCCGCCTGGTCACTGGGGAGCCCTCAATGCATTCATCTGTATCTCTGTTGGCAACTTACCTAGGATGAGGAGGGTGATCCCATTAAAAATGGCCCCGACGTAGGTCATCAGCCACATGACGACCGCAAGCTGCAGAACAAACAGGACAGGGCACAGTTAGCAAGAAGGGGAGGGCAGGAATGTATGCCCGGAGGCATCGTCAAGCGAAACTGGGGCAGAGAAATCTCTTTGATAGAAGGAGGCAAAGATAAAAGTTTTTCCCCCTGTCCAGTCATGGGAACGGTGCTCTTCTTCGTTTCTTAGCCATGGAAGCAAGAGTTGTCCGAAGACGCTTCCGTGGTCATGTGGCCAGCACGACTATATCCCAAAGGTGCCTAAAAGGCTGTTACTTTCCCACCCAAGTGGTACCTATTTATCTACTCGCATTTTGCATGCTTTCGAACTGATGGATGAGCAGCAGCTGAGGCAGGAACGCGAGCTCATCCTGTTACACGGCGCCCGGGTCTCAAACTGCCAAGCTTCCGGGTGACCAGCATCTTAACGACTAGGCTATAACTCCTCTGATAGATGGGGGGGGGGTGAGGGGGTGGCACCCCCTTATCCTCTGAGAAGGGCAAAGAGGGTCATCTCGCGTCTTACCTGGGAGGCTGCTTAATTCACAAATTTTAATGTACCCAATAATTACACACTTCAACCTTAAGCGCAAACTCAACCAGCCCCATAACTGTTTAGAAAGTGGGGTGGGAAGCCGGTCAGTCTCTACCCCATAGAGCAGAGGAGCCCAATCTTTTGGGCACCAGGGACCGGTTCTATGGAGAGAGATTTTTCCGTGGACTGGAGGGTACGTGGTTTTATGTGCTGCCTGCATCCCGCGGATGGGGCTTTGCTTGTTTGTGCGGACCAGTTGCTGGCATGCCGTGGCCCGGTACGGGGGTTGGGGACCCCTGCCATAGAGAGTGGGGAACGGAAGTCTCTTGTCTTGCTTCCCACTAAGTTACTCCAACCCCAGGGCAAAGTTTTGCATTTCAGCACCCTGTGGGCCCAAATTCCTGGGTCAGGCGCTGACCTTCAGCGAATCCACCAAGTCTTCCACCAGGAAGAGACGCAGGATGGCTTTCAGGATGTGGTTGACGTGGTCCAGGGCGGAGCTGACGTAGTGATGGAAAGTCTCGGAGGAGAGGGTGACGTCCTTCTCAAGATAGGCTCTGAGGAGGAGGGAAAGGGCAGAGTATGACCGATCCCCTTAGTGACCGCTCAAAGCTACAACAGACAACTCCCCCAACTTACAACCCCCAGATCTGGACTTCCGATGCTCACACTTGGGGACCTCGGCGACCCGGCCTACATTTATGGCTGTTTGCAGCATCCTCTGATCGTGGCGCCACAATTTACGTTTTTGCTGGAAAGCAGTTTTTATACTTCCTGCAGCAGACAATTCACTGAATGAATGGCTGTGGAATCGCTTAAATGGCCAGGGCGATTCATTTAACCACACAGCCCAAAATGTCATAAAATCCGGCTGGTCACACAAAGAAGGACCTGCTTTACGGCCGTAATGAGCAGGCTCCACTTTGGTCCTAAGCAGAGGATTACCTGTGCAGAGATATCCACCGTCTTCTGGGTTAACAGAGATCCTGTTTCTCCCTGAGGCATAGCAAATATTTCAAATTCAAGACAGCCCTGCTCTGAAACACGGCCGTTTCTCCAAATTGGTAATTTTAAGACTTGTGGACTTCATCTCCCAGAATTCCCCAGCCAACCAGCCAGGCTGGCTGGGGAATTCTGGGAGATGAAGTCCACCCACCTTAAAAGTGGCTGAGGTCGAGAAACACGAGGCTATTCTTTATAGTGCCCCATAAATACACTTTTAATACGCTCTTGTCTGGGATGTGCCCATTTCGCAGAGGGGCAACTGAGGGCAGAAGACCCAGGTGGGCCCCAAAGCCAACCCAAGCCCGCTCACTTGAAGGGATGGCCTTCCTCGGATTTCTGCACCGCTTGGATGACGGATTTGTAGACCCGGAAGCAGATGGTGACCGACAGGAGAGCCAGGATGAGGTACGAGACGACGCTGATGACGCTGAAGGCCGCCAGGGAGAGCAGCAAGATCAGGGTGGTGCTAAAAACGGCGCCTGTCTTCTTGACATCCCTCCAGAAGACCAGATCTCGCACTGGGGACAAAGGGAGAAGAGGGGAGGCCGGCCGTTAGCGGAGGATCGGGAACACTGCAAGGAAAAGACAGAGGACCCAGCGCAAAACTCAACGCATCAGCCCTGCAGAGGAAACCTATTTCTGTAATGAGCAGCATCTAGATTTGAAAATAAATCAGAATAAATAACAATCACAGGTAGTCCTCGACTTACCACAGGTCACTGAGTGACCAAATTCCCAACAGCAGCCAAAGGAAGTGGCCGATGGCTGTTTTTCACACTGATGCAGAATCCCAAAGGATCAAAATTCAGACGCTTGGTGACTGACTCACACTTATGACGGTTGCAGTCCGTTCCCTTTGGCCACCTTCCGACCAGTCCACAGGGAAGCTGGATTCACTTAACAACCGTGTGACTGAACTTAACAACTGCTCGGATCCATTTAACAACGGTGGCAAGAAAGATCCGGTCGCAAAACGGGGCAAAGACCCGCTTAACCAAGGTGGCGCTTAGACGCCGGGACTGTCGTAAGTACGTGCCCGTGGCCGAGTGGGCGGATTTGGATCCCGTGGCCGTGGGGATGCTGCAAGTGCGAAACACGGCCTTGTTTCAGTGCCTTTGTAACTTCAAGCAGTCACTAAATGAATGTTTGTAAGTCAAGGACTATCTCTAAGTGTAAAATGACCGTTCCCCCTCAAAAACTATTCTGTGTTACTGAATGCTGGGGGTCCCATCTAAGGCACAGATCTGGAGAAACTCTTTGCACACAGAAAAGCATGTGGGGGCTAGTCCCAGCCAATGTCTCCCCTCCCCCATTAAAAAAAGACATCCAGACCCGTCGGAGCAGCACAGAAGAAGCATTTATAACTCAACACAAGGCTCCCTCTGTTTGGATGTGGGGGGGATTCCCACTCCCCCTTAAGGGTTACATGGGCCACAGGCAGCTGGCCAAGAATAAGTTTATAAAAAGCACATCCTTTTGGGGCTCCCTGACCTACAAAGGAGAGAGAGAGAGAGAGAGAAAGAAAGAAAGAAAGAAAAAAAGAAAGAGACAGAGAAAAAGAGAGAGACAGAGAGAAAAAGAGAAAAAGAGAGAGACAGAGACAGACAGAAAGAAAAAGAGACAGAGACAGAGAGACAGACAGAGAGAGAGAAAGAAAGAAAGAGACAGAGAAAAAGAGAGACAGAGAGAAAAAGAGAAAAAGAGAGAGACAGAGACAGAGACAGAAAGAAAAAGAGACAGAGACAGAGACAGAGAGAGAGACAGACAGAGAAAAAGACAGAGAGAGATACAGAGATAGAGAAAGAGGCAGAGAGAGACAGAGACAGAAAGAAAAAGACAGAGAGAGACAGACAGACACAGAGACAGAGAAAGAAAGAGAGACAGAGAGAGAGACAGAGACAGAGAGAGAGACAAAGAGAGAGAGACAGAGGGACAGAGAGAGAGAAAAAGAAAAAGAGACAGAGAGAGAAAGAAAGAGACAGAGAGACAGAGAAAGAGAAAAAGAGACAGACAGACAGACAGACACAGAGAGACAGAGAAACAGATAGACAGTGTGTGTGTGTGCGCGCGCGCACCCTCTCTATCTCTAACTGGAATTGCTAAAGATGCAATCTCCCAAAATTCAGCCCACATTTTTTGATACTTGATGGGAACATAGAGAAACAAAATTCCAGTTTTGCCAGATTCTGTTGTTAGGTATACTGTTTAGCTCCAGGGTTAGGAAGCCGTGATACCTCCCTCTCCAACTCTCTTTTCTCACACATTCTGACAGTTATGCAAAATCCCACGATGGCTCGCCCCCCTCCCCCCAAAAATAGAACATAGAATTGTAGGGCTGGAAGGAAAGTTTTGGGTCTTCTGGTCCAACCCCCTGCTCAAGACAGGAGTCCTTATACCATTTCAGAGAAACGGATGTCCAATCTCTTCTTAAAAACCTCCAGGGATGGGGAAGGAAGGAAGGAAGGAAGGAAGGGAGGGAGGGAGGGACAGAGAAAGAGAAAGAGAAACAGATAGGAAGGAAGGAAGGAAGGAAGGAAGGAAGGAAGGAAGGAAGGAAGGAATAAAAGAATAGCAGAATAACACAAGAACAGAGTTGGAAGGGACCTTGGAGGTCTTCTAGTCCAACCCCCCCTTGCTTATCGGAAATATTCACTGGATTAAAATACAAAAAAAATTGCAAATTCACTGGTAATAGTTTACGAGGTTCAGTTATGGAGCGCTATTCCACCATACGTTGCAGGCAGTCCTCCACTTAACAGCCACTACTGGCCCAAACTTACGGTCGTAAGTCATTGTAGTCCCTAAGCAAACACGGCAGTCATTAAGTGAATCCATTTTACCTAATGGGCATCTTTTGCTGGGAAAAAAAACCAAAGCGGATGCCAGAAATTGGCAAAAAGCATCAAAAATTGCAGTCACGCGTGACTCTGTGTGTGTGTGTGGGGGAGCCATTATAAACTTCAAAATCAGGCTGTGAGTGGCTTTGGGGGTCCATCGTAACGGTCACCAAGCAAGTGGTCTTAACTTGAGGATTACTGGTACTTCTTGTCTAGAGTGACCGATCGGGACCCTCTTGGTGAGGGCCCATGCAGTTCAAATGTCTCTCTGTGAGCATTTTCATGAGTGGGGAAAGAACTGTGGCGAAACTGGCAGCCAGGCGGCAGGATCTGGCTGATGAAATTCTCTCCGGAGAAGGAAGAGATCAGGAGAGATCACCCTCTTGAACTCTGGATAGTTAGTCCTTTTGAGGAGATTTCAAGAACTGAGTTTCTTGCACTCGGATTGTGCATTGAATAGCTCGGGAGCTGTAGGAGGAATGGCAGAAACTGGAGGAGGAGTCAAACGAGGAATCAGCCTAGAATCCCTACATAGCCATAAGCAGACTAAGTACTGTATTCCATTGTATTCCGTTCGGCCTTATCTAACTCTTAGTTGAGAAGGTTCCTGCGCACAGGCTTTTAGCAATGAACCGGTTTAATTCTTTCTTTCATTCTTTTGCATGTGGATCTGGTCTTTTGCGCCTGACAAGAGCTAAGGAAATCTAAAGGTGTGCCCCCAAAATAGTTACATAGCCTTTATGGATATGACCTACAAAAACCTCAAGTTCTTAAAACACTTTGGGATACAACTAATTCACAGCTTAAGAGAGAAATTCCAACAGAAGAAAAGTGACTTGGAGAGTTGCCTTCATTTTGGAATTAAGTAGAGGGGGGAAAAATAGTAAGAATAGAATAGAGCTGGGAGGGACCTTGGAGGTCTTTTAGTCCAGGGCTTTCCAACCAGTGGTACGGGTACCACCTGTGGTACACTGGCACCTGGCAGGTGGTAGCGGGGGAGGGGAATGAGAGCGCCGCCGGGCGGGCAGACAGGTGTCTTGCTTGGCTGTGGCTTGGGGGGCACTTTTTTCAGTGCCATTGTAACTTCAAACAGTCACTAAGCGAACTGTTGTAAGTCGAGGACTACCTGTACTTTATCACTTTTTTCCTTTTTTTTTTTTGGTCAAGTTTTTAACACCTTGCTAGGCGACTGGTGGTACTCGGTTACTGCCATATCCTAAAAGTGGTACAATGGGTGAAAAGGTTGAAAAGCCCTGTTCTAGTCCAGCCCCCTGCTCAAGCAGGAGAACCTGTATCATTTCAGACAAGTGGCTGTCCAGTCTCTTCTTAAAAACCTCGAGTGATGGAGCACCCACGATTTCTGGAGGCATATACTATCTTAATACTTAATACTACCTTAAAAAGAATTTCAATTTAGAAGCCAAAAGCTTAACGAGACCGTGATGCAAGGAAGTTTTAAACGGATAAATGGGGTAGTATTTTTAGAAAGCAAAAGGACTTCTTTTCCCCCCTTCCTGACAAACAGTGTCTTTCAAAACCGTAAAATTAATCAGACAAATAGACTGGAACTTCGTAGGAGTGCTGATTATTATTAAGAAAAGCCAGGTGACAGTTGGATTTTACGAATAAGAAGAAAAAAATTAATACTAAGCCTATCCAAGCAGCCACTGTCATCCCAGTGGAAATAAATAACACAACATCCATTGTTACGCAGGGAGCCACATGCAAGCCACGGTCATTACCTTCCCGTGTGGTTACCTGAGAATTCAGCCAGTAATTTTGTAAAGGTGTGTAGTGCAGACGGCTTGGGTGGAAGAGGCTGGGAAGTTTTCCCAAGGCCGACGCTGGCGGGAGCCAGCATCACGTCGACGGCCTGCTCAAGGCAGAGAGGTCTCTTCTCCAAGGCAGACTTCGGAGCAGATGCCGTAGCCTCCGGCAGGATCTCACAGTACTGTCCAGGATGCCTCCCTCTAGGGGGAGAGAATAGCGTGGGTCTCTCCATCTCAGCTTTCCTCCCCGCCTCTTTGAGGGCTGTGATGGTGAGATGCTCCTGTTCAAAATCTTGCTTTGCTTGGGGTGGCTGTTGGAAGTAGGGCGATGCCCCTTGGGAGCGGGCGGCCTTCAGCTCCACCTCCGAGAACATCTCCACCGTGTCTTCAGGGGATTCGGCCCCCTTGGATTTTAAGCACTCCTTCATGAAGTCCATAAAACTCTCCGTGCCCAGCCCGTCTGGGCACACCACCCCTTTGACGCTGTCCAAAGGGGTCTTTCTCGAAAGACCTTCGGCCTTCGGAGTCTTCCTCGGTACCCCCAGTTCCCCAGCATCGAACACCTGCTTGGCTTTAGACGGTGCACTTGGACCAGGTTCTCTGGAGGGCTGGGATGCAGCCGACGGTCGCTGCCTAGCAGCATGAGACTCAGCCTGGGTTGCTTTGAACTCATCGGTGAATCTCCAACGGCTTTCCAAAGACTGGGAAGCCATCTGGTCTTCCAGAAGCTCATCAGAGGCCTCATCATCATCATCGTCATCTATATACACAATTTCTGCTTCAGAGGAGCTGGTGAGTTTGGAGAAGGCCTGGCAATTCTCAACCACAGCCTTATTCGGGAATGCCAGGTTTGCTGGAGCGTCTTCTATGACTGTGTCATCGGATTCTCCAGAGCTATCCGCATCGGCTGTTTCAGACAAGCATGGATTTGGCCAAGAGGGCTCGGCTTTCATCGCAACGGCTTCCGGAGGAGCACTTTTCACCACGGCTACGCCTTGGCCAACCATGGCTTGTTTCTTGTCTACTTGTAGAGATGGCTTGCCTTTCTGGTGGAGGCTGATTGTCACAAGCTGATGAGGAGCAGAAGCTTTGCTGGTTTCCATACCGCTAGGGCTCACCATGGGTTCTGGAATACCGCCACTCTTTTCAGTGGGCGAGGCCTTAAAGCCCGAGCTGATAACGTCATCTGTCTTGTCTTCCAGATCCTTGGGGATTAAGTCCCAGTTAAGCAGCTCATTGGTGAAGCTGTGCAGTTCACGGACACATTTGGAGACTTCCTCCAGGGCCGCAGTCGTGCCTGAAGACTGGCGAGAGAGCCCTGGTCCCGAAGGAAGCCGGCCACTGCTACGCGGCTTGGCCTGGAACTCGCAAACTCGGTCTTCTGGAATGTCTGTCAACAGCTCCCTTTCGCCATGGATCACCCAGTTGCTCCCGATGTCCTTGGAGCTCACCACATCTTTGAATTCCTTATCAAATTCCAGCTTGTCGGCAATGACCTCAAAGGGAGATTCGGGAGAATCTTTTTCCACAGCCTCCCCGGAAGATGTGTTGGAATGTGCATGGAGCATCTCAGCAGGAACCTGCTTGAGTTCATCTTCCAAGTTGGCCAACAGTGCAAATTTGCCGTTGGAAGCTCGTTCTTCGTCTGGCTTGCATCCATTCAGATCAGTCTTATCCTCTGGAGGACCAGCTCCTTTGAACTCACTCTCCTGCGGAGAAGCCGCTTCCGTGACGGGGCCACGGCTGTGCATTTTGGATCCGGAAGAAAAGGGCAATTCCATTAGGCGAGGAGATCCTACGGAAACGGTCTCTATTCTTGAACCATCATTGGTCCCTTGTTTTGGTCCTTCCAAGGCTTCCCGTTGGTCTTCGGAGAGGGTAGATTTGCTGTTGGCTTCCCTCTGATTTCCAGAATGTGTTAAATAAACTCCAGCTGATGGAAGAGAAGACAGGAAAGGAGCAGGGAACTGCATCCAGCAAGCTGAACCTTGCCGAAGAAGACTCCCCGATTTAAATGGGGAGAGGGAGAGAGAGAGAGAAAGATACGCACACAGGATCTCGTGACAAAATTCCACAACCAAGCAGGCAACATGCTCGTAACGAAACGAAAGCCACAATTCTACCCTACCAAATTCTGCGCGCATGCATGAGTCCGTCACCGGGCGGACAGGAACTTTGTCAGGAAGCTGCGATCCACGTAAACATAAAAAAACGGGAGCAACATTCAATTTCACGGAAGGAAGACAACTGAAGTCAGCCAGAGAGAGAAAGGCAAATGAACAGGTCATGCTGGGCAGGTGAACAGAAGCAGCCCCCCCCCCCCCAAATGCAAATAAACGCCTCCACAGATTGTAGAAGGTTGGTCGGGCGCGTGAAGATCAGACGTTGTAGGAATGCTACGACCTGGGTCTCACCTCGCAGTGTGTCTTATTTCTATGGCTATTTAATTCTACCCCAGGGGTCTTCAAACTTGGCCCTTTGATGACTGGTGGACTTCAACTCCCAGAATTCTGGGAGTTGAAGTCCACCAGTCATCAAAGGGCCAGGTTGGAAGACCCCTGTTCTACCCCATCTAGCTTGTGCTACTCCTAAGGCTTGACTTACCACAGTTCATTTAGTGAATGTTCAAAGTTACGACGACACTGGGGAAAAAGTGACTTATGACTGTTTTTCACACTTATGACCGTTGCAACATCCCCACGGTCACGTGATCCCCTTTTGCGACTTCCTGGCCAGCAAAGTCAATGGGGATGCCAGTAACCACGTTACTAACCTAACAAGCTTGGTGGTTTTCTTTGGGACGTTTTATGACCCAACTAGGTAACATCGTCGGTGCTTCAAGTGAATGGGTTTGCTCTCTCAGAGTTCAACCATGAGTTGCAAATATTTTCTTCGGTCTTATTTTATTCTCAAGGAATCTTTTTGTAAGAACTATGTTCTCCAGGAGTTAAGGGAAGAGACTAGGTTAATCTCTTTTTCCCCTTTAGATTTAAAGCAGGGCTAGGCAACCTTGGCTCTTTTATGACTCATGGACTTCAACTCCCAGAATTCCTGAGCCAGCATGAGGGAAACTTTGGCCCCCTCATGACTTGTGGACTTCAACTCCCAGAATTCCTGAGCCAGCATGGCTCAGCTTGGAAACCTTTCCCTTTCCCCTCAGCATGGCTGGCTCAGGAATTCTGGGAGTTGAAGTCCACGAGTCATAAAAGAGCCAAGGTTGCCTACCCCTGATCTAAAGTAAAGGCAGTTTCTACGGCCTTAGTACACACCTCACCATTTATCACAAATATCTGACTGCCCAAATGCACCACCGATCAACGGGCAGCCAGCTAAGAAATATGCTCCAGCTTGAACCAAGGCGCTCCTATAGTGTGACCTTTCCGACACTTTCCCTCTTGGTTGTTGAACATGAAGTGTTTAGTGTTGGACACCTGGAAACACACCTGTGAACTGAACTCTCAGAACAAGCCTGGGCAAAGGATAAACGCGAGGCAGCGTCACAGTTGCTCAAGGCAATTCAGCCTAAAGGTAAATCCGATTATTTGCAGAAGCAGCTCGCTTTCAAGAATTCTTCAATCTGTCGAAAAACATCTGGGCTAAAAGTTGCAGTGGGGACCCAAAAGAAAGGCTTTTAACGCGGGAGAGGAGCCCAACAAAAACCTTCCCTTTTCTGTACCAGCTTCTTTGAAAGGGATCCTGTGCTTTCAAAATTGTGCTTTCTGCCGTGATAATGAAGGGGTCTATCCCAGAAGTACAGTACATTTTGCACGGAGAAAAAAAGAGAGAGAGAGAATGAACGCTCCTAAGTTAAACCCCTTACCACTCCACACTTAAAAAAAAAAAAGATTTGAAGAGCAGAGTCCAAATCCTGGGAGGGGAGGGGGGTTTGCCTTAAATATCTCGCCACGTAACAAGCAGAAATATAGATGCTTTGTTGGCTATTGGCAATGGTTCTCCGAAGCCCACCGTTGTCGGCTGTCCTCCCAAACACAAAATTAAGCTCTTAACAATACCGCCAGGCCAGAATTTTCACCCAATTCTGCAGTCTTGCAAGATTTCAGCTGTTAATAATTTAAAAAAAAACCAAAACTCAGGCAAGAACGCTCAAATTCTTATCCAAGATCTCATGAAGTTGTGGCCTTCTCAAAGCAGAGTTCTGAGATGCTGGATAAATGGGAGGGAGGGAGAGGGAAGATGAACGGGTTACTCTGCCAAAGGTGTCACAGATCTGCAAATGTGGTTCTAAGTACGGTAGATAAAATTGGTCTTGGCTTTGTATGAAACCTTGATTGGCAGGGACACAGGTTCTTTTGCAGGCAAGAAGTCCAATGTCTGGCTAATTGATGCCACCAACTTAAATGAAGTCTAGATGGGTCAAAGTCTTATCTTGATAGGGAACGACCTTCAGCAGAATTAACTGTTCTTGCAGGCACCCAGGCGCCTTTGGCTTAATATCGGTGCTTAGTCAGAGGCCCTACGAGAAACAGAGTCATTCTCACTGGCCTCCTTTAAAAAATAAAGAGATGTTACCGTAGCAATCCGTGGCTTTAATCACTCAGCAAACGCCAGGAAAATGGAAGGGATTTAGCCAAATTCTGGAAGCCAAACACACCCGTGCTTTCAATTCCAACCTCAAGAATTGGTGGCTTCTCACCCAGAGAAATATCCTCGTTTAGATTTGGTCACTGAATTAAATTCCCAGGTTAGAGAAAGTTGACTTAGGTGTCACCTCCAACTCAGAAGATGGTGTTTTTTTAAACCCTGACAAAAAAGCCTATCGATGTTTCATGGATGATTCATTTGCAGAATTTACGACCTTCTTCTTGGTTGCAAACCAATGAGTCAAAGTGAGGACATCTATTCGTAGTTATTAGTCATGATAGCTACACAGGAATGTCCCCTTCTTGGAAGCATTATATTAATGGGTATCTATTGTTGCAATAAAGGGCGTTTGCTGTTGCATCTGAGAAATGCTGGCTATCATTAGATCACCTCCCATTTTGGAAAGAGTTTAGACCAGTGGTTCTTAACCTTCTCTTCACAATGGACTCCCTTTCAATACCTCATTGGGAACCAGCCTGTAACTCAGCCTGTTCAAGGTCAAAAAACTTTTATTTTGTGAATTGGGAGACTCTGACAGTAAGAACGATCAACCGGGGGAACAACTTGCCACCAGAAGTTGTGGGTGCTCCATCACTGGAGGTTTTTAAGAAGAGATTGGACAACCATTTGTCTGAAATGGTATAGGGTCTCCTGCCTTGAACAGGAGGGGTTGGACTAGAAGACCTCCGAGGTCCCTCCCAACTCTGTTATTCTAAAAAGATCTTAAGAAACTCCTGGGAGAGACGAGAGATGGAAAGAACAACAAGAGGCTGGAAAACTCTTGGATTAAAGCTTTCAAAACAGAATTAATCTGAGAGGGCTCTGAATGACAAAAGTTAAACTGGCTTTGCCGGTGCACTCCGCCTTCAAAGGACTACAACTCCCAGGATTCCTAGCTAGCATCACTTTGGGGTCATAGACTTGGACTCCCTGTCATTCGCAAACAGCGATGAATGAAGGAAACCATTTGGAGCGCCTAAACCTGGCTTTACGTTGCATCCCAAATAATGGCGGGCTTAATCAAGATTTATTAAATAAACCAAAGTAATACTGGCTAGGTTCGTAAAACACTAAATCCAATCCAATTATCACAGACTGGCAGCCTGGGTGCTACTGTCCCAAAGGTGCTTTTCCCAAAGGCAACTGGACTTTCTTTGTTTTTTCCTTGAAGAAGTTTCGCTTCTCATCCAAAAAACTTCTTCAGTTCTGGGAAAACAATGACCCGGATGACACTTGGTGCTACTGCTGCAGACAGAGGCTAAGTCAGCCTATGGAGTCCTACCCATCCTCCTCAGCACCCTTCTCAACATTTTGTCCTGGGACAATAACTCACCTGTTCTTTGCTATTGCTACAACCACCCTCAGCCTTTGCTAACCTTCCAAACTAAACCTTTTTTTTTTTTTTGCGCTCGGTATTTGTTGGGGAAAATAATTAAAAAAAAAAGCAAGCTTAAGGAGACAAGAGCGGAGGTGGAAGGAATCAATGAACGCCAGAAACACAAGCGTGGAAAAAGCAGCCACACAAGTCAGAGCACGTCATAATCACGGCACCAACGGAGATGAACATTTCCGCGCTTGGTAGCCAAGCTGGGTCTCAACACTGGACGTGGAGGGAAGAAAAAGCAGGAAGAAAAATGTTTTACCGTTTCCCAAAAGGAAAGGGAAAAGAAAAAGGAAAAAAAAAAGGCTGTAACTGTAACTTTCCCGCTCCTGAACCCCCACCCCCCCAAAAAAATTATCTTTGGGGGCAGCTTCCTATTTCCTACAGCAGTTCGAAAGGCGCAGACTACAATTATGGACATTAAAAAAAAAAAACTTCTTTTACGGAAACACCCGGTCTCTGAGAAGGCAAGGCACAAGGTGCTATCAGAGGTGGCCAGGTTTTGGAAGTTATAGTTCATAAATATCCAGAGGGCCACAGCCTCCCACTCTTCCTACGGAGCCTCAGGTAGGCTTCTCTTAGAAAACGGTAGCCTCCTCGTGGCCCAGAACCAATTTGGGATTGTGATCAAGGTGAAACGTTCTTTTCCAGAAGGTGAGAACTCTCTGAGAGAGGTGTGCACAAACACACCTGCAAACATGTACTAATAAAAGAGCATCTTTGTCGCGCAGGATGGAACTGTGGCATCTTCAGGGATGCCATTCTTCTCTGGTTCCATCCCAACCCTGCCTAGATCTGGTCTACATGGGCAAGAACTTGCCCAGGACTTCGGATGAATGGGACCTTCTGCATGAATTCGAATTCTTTTCCTCTGTCAGGTATGATAGTGGAAGATTACCTTTCTTGACTACCAAGTTTTTTGAGGGCCGAAGACGGAGTATGCTACTTGCACGGCTCAGCGCCTCAAGTCTACTGATACTGTGACAGATTCACACAAAAGCTTTGACGAGTGTAGGAGAGGGCCTCTCTTATCTGCTCTGGACATAGCCCACAATAAAGTCTTCCCAACTTCGTGCTGCTACCGCTGATGACTTTGTTTGCACTTCCAAATATCCCCCTTTGACTATCTCAGAGGTTGGGAAAATCCAGTGATTGCCGTTCGCGCCACCAGGGCACCTGAGACAATCCTGGGAGGCTTCTCGCTCAGTCCCTCAAAAAATTAAAAAAGAAAAAAATTAAATTGGCACGAAGGTTGAGAAATCTCTAAATCCCAAAAGGATTTCAGCGCTCTTGGGTAACCTCACGGGAAGGGCGAAAGCTGGTGTGGTTTTGAGCAATTAAAAATGGCCTTCAGGAACAAGAGCAATTGTCCTTTGTTGGGAGACGTCAGAAAAACACTGCCTAACTTTTGGAAGGTCCACCAAGAATCCTTTGTGGGCTCCAGGGTGTAGCACCAAGAAATGTGAATCGCCATTGCTCTCACCAGTGAAGAAATGCACACCCACAGGACACAGCTCAGCTGTTTGGGAATATATGCAGGATGCTCAGAGCAATGAAGCTGGTTGCGTACGGACAGTCCTCAAGTTACGACCACCATGGAGCCCAAAATTTATGTTGCTAAGTAAACTTCCTGACAGTGAGAACAATTAACCAGTGGAACAACCTGCCTCCAGAAGCGGTGAATGCTCCAACACTGGAAGTTTTTAAGAAGAGACTGGACAGCCATTTGTCTGAAATGGTATAGGGTTTCCTGCCTGAGCAGGGGGTTGGACTAGATGACCTCCAAGGCCAAGACTTTATTATTATTATTATTATTATTATTATTATTATTATTATTATTATTATTATTATTATTATTATTATTATTATTATTATTGTTATTATTGTTGTTGTTGTTGTTGTGAGTTCTAGCCCCATTTTACGACTTTTCCTGCCACGGGTGTTAAGGGAGTCAATGTCTTTGTTAAGGGAGTCACACGGATGCTAAGTCAATCTGGCTTGTCAGAAGGTTACAAAAGGAGATCAGTGACCCCCCAGGACACTGCGACTGTCATAAATAGGAGTTGGTTGCTAAGAATCTGAATTCTGATCACGTGACCATGGGGGAATGCTACAACAGTCTTAAGTGTGAAAAAAAAACCCGTCCGAAGTCCCTTTTTCCAGTGCCATTGTAACACTGAACAGTCACTAAATGAACTGTCGTAAGTTGAGGACTATCTGTATAAGAATCACTGCTACAGATCCTCCTCTCCCAATCTAGCCGTCTTCACATTTGTTGGGCCTACTGGAAAGATAACCCAGACAGGAAAAACAACTTTGGCAAGGGAGATTTGCTTGGGAAAAGCGCATGGCTTAGTCACTCGGAAGCCTACAAAAAGCCAAACTGAGATCTGGATTCTTCTTAAACGGTCAAAGCTTCATTTGTTTAGAAGATGATTGGCGTTAGGTTTTCCTCCAGCTTTGCAGACTGAACTCTACCACCATCAGCACACCTATCTCTTTCCCCGCCGAACGGAATCACGATCAGAAAATTATCCATTTTTGGATTCATGGAAAAGGCCTCGCTAACGGATGTGACCTTTTTCCTTTTGGGGGGGGGACTCCTTGCCAATACTATCCATTAGACCCTAGGCTCAGCAAAGTGACTTCACCAACATTTCAAAAGTCTTTGCTGCTGCTGCTTCCAATTTCAATATCTAGCGTTTGGCCAGAAATGATTTTAGGGAAAGCCGTGGACGAACATCCAAAGGACGGTAGCCTCACGCCGCAGCGCCGGAAGTCCTGAAAAAGGGTTTGCGGGCTGACCGACAAAAGGAAAACCTTTTCTCGTCCCCAGTTACAGCCTCTTTCAACATTTTTCTTTCAGAAGCAGAGGGAGGTGGGTGGGGTGGGTGGGGGTGTACAAGATAAATGACAGACTTGCCTTGTGAGGTCGAAAAGAGAGAGACAGGCTGAGAGGAAGAAACAAAGGAATCTGAAAGGAAAATAGATAGGATGAGACACGGTCACCCTAAAGAGGAGGCAAGCAAGTATAATGGTTAATCAGGAAGGTGCCGAGACACCTGTTCTCAGGTGCCTGAGTGTAAAAAGGCAGGGGGGAGGGGCAATTGGAGGCTGCTCACTCACCTGGATGCAAAGTACCTATGAAACCCAAGGGAACTGCCCAGCTTTACCCATCTGCTCAGAAGGAAAAAGGACAGTTGCGTAAGATGAGCATTAACTTAGTGAATCAGGTTATATTTATCGCAGTAGCAACTTGAGCCTGCAAAAGGCTCCTAAGATTGGGGCTGAAAGGCAAAAGCAATCATAACAGTAGACCAGGTGCTCTATTAGACAGGTTTCAGTGGAAAACACTATATATCCTCCCTGGCTTTAGCTGACAGAAGTGAGGAGAACCTGTGGCCTAGAGGTTAATACAGCTGCCTAACATGCAAGTTGCCCAGGTTCGAATCTCAGAAGGGTATGGCTAGCTGATGAGAGCTAAATAGCTTGAAACAGCCATACTAGTCTCCCTTTAACTCTTTGTCAGCAAAATCTAAATTTACACACACACACACACATTAAAACCTGGCAATTGTATACTAACTGCATTTAAGAGTATCTGGAAGGCACTTGAAGATTTACCGATAAAGGAGAATATTTGTAGCTCAGGCTTGAAATGAGGGGAGCTTGGTTTCTTGCAGACGTTTCATTACCAAACTAGATAACATCTTCAGTGCTAGAAGGGAATGGGGACTGTGGAGTGGAGGAGGAAGGGGGAGGAGGAAGAGGAGGACTGTGGGGTCCTTGGTACTCTCCGACCTTGGTTGTTTTCTTGCAGATGTTTCATGACCCAACTAGGTAACATCCTACTCCCTTCTAGCACGGATGACGTTATCTAGTTTGGTAATGAAACATCTGCAAGAAACCAACCAAGCTCAAACAGCAGCAAGGACCCCTCAGTTGAAGATTCGCTTTATTGCATTTAAATGCTACCTTCTCCAGGGGTGTTGGAAGCAATGCAGATGAAAGATCTCCCTCCAACAATGTCCACCTCTGTGTTTGCAGGGATATCACCTGCAGTTAGCCATTTACAATAATTTGGAGGGTCAGGAGAGAGAGGGATTTGTGATCCTCAAACGCCCACCTATCAGGGTGTGTTGCTCTAAGATGGTAAGACAGCCCGCCCCCACTTGGTTTCTCTTAAAACTGTACAACAAATCCTACTATAAACTATGCTGGCTAAAACCTTGAGAATTTCCTGCCTTTGAAATCGTCCTATAAACAACTCGGCATCCCACACAAGCTTTCCATCCAGTTACAAGTATTTTAATCAATTATTACTCACCCGGACACATCTACAAAGAATCTGAGAGCAAGACTGCCTTCTGCTCGTCACAACTTCCCTACATGGCATTAAACTATGATTGCATCTTCACAATGATTTTGTTGATGAAGCCATGGTGGTTTGGTTTGCATGGCAAGCCAAGGGACGCCAAAGAAGCCACAGTAGAATAGAATAGAATAGAATCTGGAAGGGACCCTGGGGGTCTTCTAGTCCAGCCCCCTGCTCAAGCAGGAGAACCTATACCATCTCAGACAGGTGATTGTCTAGTCTCTTCTTGAAAATCTCCAGTGATGGAGCGCCCACGATTTCTGGGGGTAAGTTGTTCCATTGGTTAGATGGCCATCTTGAGGAGGGGGGAGATGTTCTAGGAATGAACATTACAATGGCAAGAGGTGGATTAAATCAGAGGTTCCCAACCCCCGGTCCATGGACCGGTACTGGGCTGTGGCATGCCAGCAACCGGTCCGCACGAACAAGCAAAGCCCCATCTGTGGGATGCAGGCAGCACACAAAACCACGCACCTTCCAGTTTCTCCACGGAACTGGTCCCTGGTGCCCAAAAGATTGGGGACCTCTGGATTCAATGATCTGCCAGCTCTGTTCCCACCCCGACATTACAAACCTCTAACGTCATACACAATCTCCCAAAGTCCTCGTCATCAACCTTCCAAATCAATCTTTGGGTCAGTGTGGAACACAACTCAAAACATAGGCTCAGATTGGCAACTATCTTCTTGAGAGCATGCTTGATGGGGAGAGAGAAAGAGAGAGAGATTGAGAGAGAGAGAGAGAGAGAGAGAGAGAGGGAGAGGGAGAGGGAGAGAGAGATTTATCCAATCTTTCTCCAACCTCAACTCAAGCAGTTTGGAAAAAAGAAAGAAAGAAAGAAAGAAAGGAGAGAGGAAGGAAGAAAGAGAAAGGAGAGAGGAAGAAAGGAAGGAAGGAAGAAAGAAACAAAAAGAAAGAATGAAAGAAAGGTAATAAGTACCCAAATTCAAGGTGCAACCGTTTAGCAATGGCTTTGGCGTGGAGCCCAGCACCAAAGGCATCCTCACCCCTCCTCTTCGCCCAAAAATTTCAACACCCAACCCATTTAATCAGCCGTGAAGACTGATTCTATCTTTGCCAAAGGCTAGATGACAAGTCATCCTCCCTCACCCGCACCCAGGGGCACTACAGGGGGTCTCTGCTTTTTCACAAAAAGTGCATTGTGTGTACATCCTTGGCAATGTGCTGCAACCCACCCGCCTGGCTTCAGTGTGCAAATCTGCAGGGCAGGGAGTGCACACACCAACACACTGCTAGAGTTTATTGAACAAAGATGGATCTACAGAATAAATGAATAATGAGAAAGCTTTTTAGTGCCAGCATATCTCCAACCTCAGCAGTCCTCCAGAGAAGCAACTCAAGTGTCATTCGGTCACAAGGTTAGAGGAATGTTTATTTAGATTTATTGGCCCTTGCAAAGACTTGCAAGAGTGGTGAGTAATGCAGAGGTTCTGGATGGTTCTTTTTTTGGGGGGGGGGCTGTATCCCAAGCGAAGCCACTGTGCTGAAGCCTTAAAAACACTGGGAAAAGTTTCATTCAAAGAAACGATCTACTGATTTATCGCAAGGCAGCGTGAAGCAAGATGGTTTAAACCAGGGGCAAATTTGGGCTTAATTTCTTGCCATTTTTAAGCTGAGCCTTTTTAAATCAGTGGCCTGAAGGGTAACGAAGAAACCAAAATGTTTACAACAACAGAACAAAAAAAAACCAAAAAAACCCCCCCAATGACAAAGGCATACATGAATAGCCACACATGAATAAGCTACTAAACATTTAATAGGTTGCGCTCCTGAATAAGTGGCGCTGAGCTGTCAAAACGCCCCAATAAACATTTTTCTTGATCCACCAACCGACTCAAATACTTAGCCTGCTTTTTGATTTGCAAATGAAGTGCTAATTTAATTGCCAAGCAGCAATTTATATGCCCTGCTACGTCCTGCAAGGCAGTGTCAGCGTCCCCGTTTTTTTTTTTGAAGCTGAGGCTAGGAAGAAAAGAAAAAAAATGGCCAAAGGCTATCTAACCAACTCATCAGGGATATATATACTTAGGAAACATGGGAAAGGAAATTCTGTCTGCTTTTTGAACGGGACGGGTTGGTTAGGAAGTTAACTTCTGAAAAAAAGGAGGGCAGGTATGATCAGCACCTTTTTATTACCTACCTCTGCATTTATTGGCGTAAGCCTGTTTCTCGTGTTTTAATGCAGTTTTTCAGGCTCAGCTCATCCCGAGTTTGGCAAGTGGAAAATGTGAAGCAACTTCGCCCACAGAGCCAGCTTTGGGCTATTGGAATCTGTTCTCTGCTGCTCCATTATACAGGGAGTCCTTAATTTGCAAACCATTTGTTTAGCAACCGTTTGAAGTTACGACAGGGGTAAAAAAAAAAAAAGTGGCTTACAACCACTCCTTTGCCTGTACTATCAATGCAGCACGTACATGATCAAGATTCAGGAGCTTGTCAACAGGCATGTGTTTATGAGGGCTGCGGCATCCTGGAGCCCTGTGTTTGTCATTTACGACCTTCTTAGCCGGCTTCCAACAAGCAGAATCAATGGAGAAAGCTAGATTCACTTATTAACCAAGAATCAGTTAACAGCTGCCGCGATTCGTGGAACAACTGTGACAAAAAGGTTGTAAAACTAGACACAACTCACTTAACAAACTGCCTTGCTTAGCAACGGGAGATTCTGCTCCCCGTTGTGGTCATAAAATCGAGGACTACCTTCACCTAATAGTAGGGACGGCCCTCCTCACACCTGTCACTCTGATCAGATCAAGTTTATTTCTCCATCCCAAAGGTTATTTCCTTAATAGAGATCATCCTGGGGTACAAGTTAGCAACACCGTCATTAAGTGAATCTGGCTTCCCCCCTGTTGACTTTGCTGGTCAGAAGGTCATAAAAAGTGATCACGTGACACCCAGGACATATTGCAACCGTCTTAAGTACATGCCAGTTGCCAAGAGTCTGAATTTTGATCACGTGACCATGGGGAGGCTGCGACGATCGTGAGTGTGAAAAAACAGTCTTTTCAATGCAGCTATCGCTTTGAACAGTCCCTAAGTGAGCTGTTGTAAGTCAAGGACCACCTGTACCCTTCCTCAAGAGGCAGAGCCTCCCCCCCCCCCGCCGCCACTGGAACTGACTGCCTGTGTTTATTGAGGATCTTCAGTCAACTGGAGAGAAATTGCCCTTTAAAAAACAAAACAAAAACGAAAACACAAGCATTAATTGGGCCTTTTTGCTGAACCCTCGTTCCTTGTGGAGAGCCACACGTGACGAGGGCTGAGGAGGGTGTGGGGCTGAGGCAGAGCTGGAAGGCTGCCCTAGCATGCCTTTGTGCAAAAGCACAACGTTGTAGTCTCGGGGCAAATGAGGCAGAGAGCTGGGAAAAGCACTGATGTGGGTATCTTGCGCAAGACCGAATCTATGTAACCAGCATGTTGTAATAATGACTTGAGGGATAAAAACCAGGCCGACGCATTAATCGAGGCCGGTTGAAGTCCAGTACTGTGGACCGGCCTTCCTGGTTGTTATAAAACAAAATGCTTAGCAGTAAACCCAGCTAACAATATTATCAGCTCCTTGAAATGCTCCTCTT